ATTTTAATAAACCCAAGACAAAAAAAAAAGCATTCATTTTTCTTCTTTGTTGCTTTTGCTTTTCTTTCTCTCTTTTCGTTTCTTCTTTTCTTTCTTGTGGGCACAAAACATCAACAAAGTAATGATTTTTCTGCTTCTTCAGTTTTGGTTTGCTAAACTAATCTAAAAGCTTTCATTCATGGTGGTAGTAGTGATGAAGAAAACAACGAAGAATCCTGTTTTGCTCATCTCTTTCTTGTTACTCTGTTTCTCTACTTGTTCTCTCTCTTCTGAGCCCAGAAACCCTGAAGGTAAAAAAAGCATCCAAAACCAAAAAGACTCCTTTTTTTTATTTCCTTTTTCTAAATTTTCAAATAATCGATTTTGGGTGTGTTTTTGTTTTACAGTGGAGGCTCTGATAAATATAAGGAACGATTTACATGATCCTCATGGTGTTTTGAGCAACTGGGATGAGTTTTCTGTTGATCCTTGTAGCTGGACGATGATCACTTGTTCTTCCGACAACCTCGTAACTGGCCTGTGAGTATTTCTCTTTTCTTTTTTTTTCATTTCGTAAAAAACTCCATTAATGGCGACAAATCTTCTTCTCCAATTGCAGAGGAGCTCCAAGCCAGTCTCTCTCGGGTACTTTATCTGGGTCAATCGGAAATCTCACTAATCTCCGACAAGTGTAAGATTAAGACATCAGTTTCCTTTTGTTTTTTTCTTCATAACATTACAAAACCAAAAAAAAATCTCACCTTTTTTTTTGTTTTTTGCATTTTGAAGGTTATTACAGAACAATAACATCTCCGGCAAAATCCCACCGGATCTCTGTTCTCTTTCCAAATTACAGACTTTGGATTTTTCCAATAACCGGTTTTCCGGTGACATCCCTGGTTCGGTTAACCAACTGAGTAACCTCCAATATCTGTAAGTCTCTCTTTCGAGATTTTGCAAATGATGTTCTTTAATTCAAAGTTGGGTACTCGTTAACCTCGTACGTTCTGTAATGATTCGATTAGGAGGATGAACAATAACTCATTATCTGGGCCCTTCCCTGCTTCTCTGTCTCAAATCCCTCACCTCTCGTTTTTGTGAGTATATTACAGATTTTATCAATGTTTTAATTCTTCTTACTTTTTTTATACTCATGTTTTGTTTTGATGTTTGGTTTCAGAGACTTGTCGTATAACAATCTCAGAGGTCCTGTTCCTAAATTCCTTGTCAAGACATTCAAGTAACTAAAAACTTAACTTTTGTTTTGAGCATTTCAAGACATTCCTGTTCTTGTCAAAAGAAGATTTGAGTTTTTTTAAATTTGATTCACTGTGTTGTTTGTAGTGTTGCTGGGAATCCTTTGATTTGTAAAACCAGCCCACCTGAGATTTGTTCTGGATCAGTCAATGCAAGCCCTCTTTCTGTCTCTTTACGCTCCTCTTCCGGTATATCCTTGGTTCTAACAATCTCGCTTTTTCCCGATTTATATCCATTGTCATGGGTTTATATCCTCGTTTGGGATTTGTAGGACGCAGGACCAACATATTAGCCGTTGCGCTTGGTGTAAGTCTTGGCTTTGCTGTTAGTGTAATACTCTCTCTCGCGTTCATTTGGTACCGAAAGAAACAAAGAAGGCTAATGATTCTTCGCATCAGTGGTTCGTCAAATCAAGATTGAGCTTTTATGTTAATTGGATTTCAAGAAGGTTTTGTTGTCCAACTTAAAAATTGTTGTCTTTTTTTTTTCTTTTCGCAGACAAGCAAGAGGAGGGGTTACTAGGATTGGGAAATCTGAGAAGCTTTACATTCAGAGAACTCCATGTAGCTACGGATGGTTTTAGTTCCAAGAACATTCTTGGTGCAGGTGGTTTCGGTAATGTCTACAGAGGAAAGATTGGGGACGGGACAATGGTTGCAGTGAAACGATTGAAAGATGTCAATGGAACCTCTGGGAATGCACAGTTTCGTACCGAGCTGGAGATGATCAGCTTAGCTGTTCATAGGAATTTGCTTCGGTTAATTGGTTATTGCGCGAGTTCTAATGAAAGACTTCTTGTCTACCCATATATGTCCAATGGCAGCGTGGCTTCTAGGCTTAAAGGTATATATATGCTTCAGCGATGCAGAAACCGGCTTCTACTCACAATATGGTCTAACAAAAGAATTGAAATGACTTAAATTTGATTTTGTTACGCTTACAGCTAAACCAGCATTGGACTGGAACACAAGGAAGAAGATAGCGATAGGAGCTGCAAGAGGTTTGTTTTATCTACACGAGCAATGCGATCCCAAGATCATTCACCGAGATGTCAAGGCAGCAAATGTTCTCCTAGATGAGTTTTTTGAAGGTGTCGTTGGGGATTTTGGGCTCGCAAAGCTACTCAACCACGAGGATTCACATGTTACAACCGCGGTCAGAGGAACAGTCGGTCACATTGCACCCGAGTATCTCTCCACCGGTCAGTCATCTGAGAAAACTGACGTCTTTGGATTTGGTATACTCTTGCTAGAGCTCATCACAGGAATGAGAGCTCTCGAGTTTGGCAAAACCGTTAGCCAGAAAGGAGCAATGCTTGAATGGGTAAGCCAGTTACTATAACCAAAATGTGATTAAAACATGTCTTAAAACTCTCTTAAGAGAATGAAATTTTGGCTTGCAGGTGAGGAAGCTGCACAAAGAAATGAAAGTAGAGGAGCTTGTGGACCGTGAACTCGGGACAAACTACGATCGAATAGAAGTTGGAGAGATGCTACAAGTGGCTTTACTCTGCACTCAGTTTCTTCCAGCTCACAGACCGAAAATGTCTGAAGTAGTTCAGATGCTTGAAGGAGATGGCTTAGCAGAGAGATGGGCTGCTTCACATAACCATTCACATTTCTACCATGCCAACATTACTTACAAGACTATTACTTCTACTGATGCTAACGGCAACGACCAAACTAAACATCTGTTTGGGTCATCAGGATTTGATTATGATGATGATAATCAGGCGTTAGATTCATTCGCCATGGAACTCTCTGGTCCAAGATAACAAATCTTGGACAAG